GAGACAGAGTTTCACCACGTTGGCCAGGCTGGTCTTGAGCTCTTGACCTCAGGTGATCAGCCCACCTCAGCCTCCCAAAGTGTTGGGAATACAGGCGTGAGCCACTGTGCCTATCAAAAAAACTTTTTTTAACTAGCAGTGCATAGTGTGATGCACCTGTAGTCCGAACTACTCAAGAGGTTTAGGTGCCAGAATCACTTGAGCCCAGGAGGTCGACGCTACAGTCAGCTGAGATTGAGCCACTGCACTTCAGCCTGGGCAGCAGGCTGTCTCAAAACAATGGGAGATATCTTTTCCAGCTTTAAGAGAAGAGTGGTCCAGGTGCGACAGCTCACACTTGTTATCCCAACACTTTTAGAGGCCAAAGTGGGAGGATTATTTGAGCTCAGGTGTTTAACACGAATCTGGGCAACATAGCAAGACCTCCTCTCTACCAAAAAAGTACAAAATTAGCCAGGTGTGGTGGTGCATACCTGTGGTCCCAGCTACTCGTGAGGCTCAGGTGGGAGGATATCTTGAGTGTGGGAATTGGAGGCCTCAGTGAGCCCTGATTGCATCACCACACTTCAGCCTGGGCAAGCAAGCAAGACCCTGTCTCAGGAGAAAAAAAAAAAAGATATTTTAATTCTTTAAAACACTCTATAATAAAAAATTTCAAGCAGCCAAAAATGTAGAAAATATAGTAAAAGTCCACATGCTAAAGATGAATAGCAGGCTTTACCCGATTTTCAAAGTCTTGATCACAGATAAGATGATAAGCCTAGGCAAAGTGGCTCATGCCTGTAATCCTAGCACTTTGGGAGGCTGAGGCAGGCTGATCGCCTGCGGTCGGAAGATCGAGACCAGCCTGGTCAACATGGTGAAACCCCATCTCTACTAAAAATACAAAAATTAGCTGGGCATGATGGCGCATGTCTGTAATCTCAGCTACTTGGGAGGCTGAGGCAGGAGAATTGCTTGTACCCAGGAGGTGGAGATTGCAATAAGCCAAGATCTCGCCATTGCACACCAGCCTGGGTGACAAAAGCAAAACTCCATTAAAAATATATATATACTGAAATACCACTGTTGAGCAAAAGATCTAAAATTTAAAAAAAAATGTGTGTATATACTCATGTATATATATGTACACGTATATATATGTATGTATATACGTATATGTACACGTATATATGTATATATATACGTATATATACACGTATATAGGTGTACATGTATGTGTATACACATATACGTGTGCACGTGTGTATATATATATAAAATAAAAATAAAGATAAGACAAAAAGAAAAAAAGAAGAAAGTCTTGGTCACTTTGTCACCATTATACCTGTTTTGCACTCTTATTTCCTAGGCTAAGCATGGGGATCAGCACGAGGGTCAGCACTACAACATCTCCCCCCAGGATTTGAAGACTGTATTTCCCCATGGCCTTCCTCCTCGCTTTGTGATGCAGGTGCTCAACACAGGGAATGGAATTGCAGGGAGCCCAGAATATAAGCTGCTACTAGCAAAGGGATGGGGCTAAATCAGAAGAAAACTATAAAAGATGAAATTTTAATCTGAAAAACAGAAATTCATCTGTTGATTACCTTTTGTGTCTAGTATAATTACTTTAAGCTCATGTTTAAACAATATTGATGTTTTCCTCCTTTGTAGTCCAAGAAGCTTCCAGTCACTTCAGCATCAAATAATTGTATTAAATAAACTTAAAATTTGCCTTGGCAAAATATCATGAAATTAGTTAATATGCTGCACAAAAGCAAAATCATAATGCACCCCTATGCTAAATAGAAGTGATATTTTGATTAGATACATCGGTTTCTCTCATGGATTTTGTGAAAATGTTTTGTGGCCATAATTTCAAGCCAAGGAGTGTAATCTTGGATTGCTATATAACTGTTGAAAGAATTCCTGGTTATTGAGCCCAGGAGTTCTAGACTAGCCTGAAGCGATAGTCTGATTAGATGCATCGGTTTCTATTCTCTCAGCAAGGTATGTTTTAAATATATCTTAGCAGAGTATCTTTTAAATATATCTCTAGCCTTTGGCCATGCTGAGTAGCTGGCCAAAGTTTTTTTGCACAATTGATTCTTCTAACTGGCTTCTACCAAATTTTCAGCATCAGAAATTATTCTTTCTTACTGACATATCAAACTTGCCTGTGCAGGTGAGTTTTAGCGTGCAAGCCAGAAGCTCTCATTTCTTCAGTGTGGTTTATTTCAGGAAATTAGATGAATAATAAGGGCATAACAGGCTGGGCGCTATGGCTCATGCCTGTAATCCCAGCTGCACTTTGGGAGGCCAAGGTGGAAGGATCACTTGAGCCCAGGAGTTCAAGACCAGTCTGGGCAACATAGGGAGACCTGTGTCTACAACACTAAAAAATAAATTAGCTGGGCGTGGTGCACACCTGTAGTCACAGCTACTCAGGTAGCTGAGGTGGGAGGATCTCTTGAACTCAGGAGGTGGGGGCTTCAGTGATTGCACCCCAGCCTGGGCAATAGATTGAGACCTTATCTCAAGCATAAAATAAGGAATGGCAGGCCAGGCAAGGTAGTTCATGCCTGTAGTCTCAGCACTTTGGGAGGCCAAGGTGGGAGGATTGTTTTAGCGAAGGAGTTCAAGACCAGCTGGGCAACATTATGAGACCGTGTCTCTAAAAAGAAAAACATTTAGTCCAATATGGTAGCTACTTAGGAGGCTGAAGCAGAAGGATGACTTGAGCCCAGAGTTCAGGCTGCAGTGGGCTACGACAGTGCCGCAGCATTCCACTCAGGCAACAGAGTGAAACTCTGTCTCCAAAAAAACAATTTCAATTAAAAAAATTTTTTTTGTTAAGATTAGAAATGGTACACAGCCAGAAGCAGTCATCTGCAGTGGCACTTTAAACTGTTCCAAGACATTCATGGTACAATCTTTATTTAGCTTCAGGGTTGTGAGATTCTATCTTTTAACTATTTCATGTTGTTTTCAGATTGGCTTAACCAACAATGCTCCCGAAGAATGTACACATTCTTTTCATAATTTTCATTTATGTGAAGGCCTACTTCCTCACCACTATTTGTGTATATCAGCATTGTCATATTGCCTAATATGACATTTTTTTTTAATACTGCTCCTTTTGGAGCAGACCTAACTCATGGGCAGTGGGCTGAGAGTAGCTGACTGTTTTATTATTATTATGTTTTTTTTTTTTTTTTTTTTTTTTTTTTTTTTTTTTTTTTTTTTTTTTT